CGGCAGCGACGCGGTGCTGTCGGGCGTGGGGCTGCACGTGGACTCCTTGGAGTCGTCGTCCTCGGACGAGCAGCGCGCCTCGCCCTTTTTGGTGCCTGCCGCGCCCGCCGCGCCCTTGGCGCTGGCCGCGCGCTCCTGTTTGCGGAACTTGGCCCGGCGGTTCTGGAACCAGACCTGCGGGCACAGACGCCAGTCAGCCCCGACGAGGCTCGGAGAACGCACGGCGTCAGGCCGGGTCGCGAGGCGGAAAGGGCCGGCCCGGATTGTTACCAGTCAGAGAGGCCACAGCCTTCCGAGCATGGGCCCCGCCACTCTCCACCACTCGCCCCTTCCTCCAGGTCTTTAGGGTCTTACCCTTGGGATCTGCTCACCCGCGGACCCCGCTGCTTCCCAGTATTCTTGGTCTCCTGGAAGGGACTTGCCTTCTCTCTCCTCCTCACTCTAAGCCCTGTCCCCCAATTCCCTCTTTTAGGAAGCTCCGGGAGTTCCCGCCTGGAGCGTTCCAGGGCCAGGAGAGCGGCTTAGGGCGTTAGGGAAACCTTTTGTCCAGGGCTTCCTGTCAAGGCAGACAAGCTGGACATCAGCACACGGGATTTGTGCAGAGAGACACCAGAGTCCGCCCTGGCGCGTCTCCTCAGCCCTGCCCCAAGCTTTCACAGCTGCCGCCTGGGGAGGGGACCCGGAGGTGCTGAGTGACCTGACTCCTCTCCTCCGTGGGCTCGCCCTGAGGTCGCCCGGGGCTCCCTCTGCCTACTCGGCCTTCCTCCTGGCTTCTCAAGCATCCCTCTGAACGTCCTGCTCTAAGAGGGAGACTGAGGAGAAATCCAAGCGGAAGCAGCATGGAGCTAAATAGCTCCGGTCTCCCCAGGGCCTCCAAGTCCTGGCCCTGCTGCCTCCCCTGGCTGCCCAACCACCCTCAGACTCCGCCCTGGTCCCTGGCCCTAGACCTCCGCTTCCAGGCCGCAGCGACCCGCGCCCCCCGGGTGTCCGGCCGTAACCTCCCGCGCACACACTCCCGCACACACGGACATACACGTACCTGCACGCGAGCCTCGGTGAGGTCGATCTTGAGCGCCAGCTCCTCGCGCGTGTAAATGTCGGGGTAGTGGGTCTCGGCGAAGACGCGCTCCAGCTCCTTGAGCTGAGCGCTGGTGAACGTGGTGCGGATGCGCCGCTGCTTGCGCTTCTCGTGCAGGCCAGACGGCTCCGGGAAAAACTTGTAGGGCACTGCGGGTGTGTGCGGGAGCACGGGGGCAACGACAGTGAGGAGCGTGAGAGGCCGAGCTCAGCCCGCGGTGTCCCGCCCCAGAGGGAAGCACGCACCGCACCCCGGTCCCTGACGTGGTCCCCCGCTTTGGTCCTCGCAGCCCGGGGCGGAACGAACTTCCTATCCTCAACAAAGCCAGCAAGGGTGGAGGCGGACCGAGCCAGAGAGACCTGGGGCCCGAGAGCTGCCTCGAGGAAACCAGAACCCGACCCTCCAGCCAAAGACCCCCAACCTGTAGTGCCCCGCCCCCCTCCTGTTCCCGCCACCTCCCTCCGCTCCCCACCATTCCACCTGCCCCTCTGCCCCTCCCTTCGGTGTGCCTCTCCCCCAGCCCGTCTGCCCGGCGGACTTCAGGTCCTGCTCGGTCCACCCTAGTCCTGGGTGTATAGCAGGTGTCCTCAGCATCACAGGTCTCACCGCTAGCAAAGTCCCAGGCCAAAGCTCTGCAACTGACACTCTTCTGCCAAGTCCACTTTCAGCCCTGCCATGGGTGGATGTGGCCCCCTCTACCCCTCCATCTCCTTCCTAGGCCTTATTTCCTCAGCCCCGTCTCACATCCATGTTTCTTATTCTCCTCCAGGAGTCCCCCTCTTCTCTTCCTCCTCATCCTCCATTCTAATCTCTCTTCAACTTTCCCCTTCTGGGTGTCTCTTCTCTTTGGGCCCACTGAGAAGGGTTCTTATTCTTCCCCACCAAGTTCCTCCATCTTCCCTTGGCCCTTCTTCCTCCCAGGCACCTTGTCTATGTCCCATCTCCCCCAAAGCTGGCCCCACTCCTCCCCTTCACTCTCTTTCCATAGCCCATCCCAGTCTCTACTGCCCCATAGACAGTGTTTCTGACACTGTCTCCCATCCCCATCTCTAACCCTGGTTTATGTCTCCATATTCACCTTCATCCTTGTCACATCTCTCCAGGTCCCCATCTGCCCTAATCCTTTTCTCCAATGACTCATTCCTATTCCCACCTTCTTCATCTCTGTTTCCAATCGTCCTTGGTCCCCATCTCCATAATTCCTGTGCCCATCACCCGGCTCTGATCCCCATCTCCCCAAACCCAGGTCACCATTTCTCCTAGGGTCCCCATTCTTCCTACCTCTGCTCCCACCTCTCTGTACCTTACCCCATCTCCCCAATAACTGTCCCCATCTCCATAATTCCTGTGCCCATCACCCGGCTCTGATCCCCATCTCCCCAAACCCAGATCACCATTTCTCCTAGGGTCCCCATTCTTCCTACCTCTGCTCCCACCTCTCTGTACCTTACCCCATCTCCCCAATAACTGTGCTGCTCATCTGGCCCGGGTTACCCAATCTCTTCATCCCTGTTCTAGTCTCTGGCCGTATTTCCCCTGGTTCTCATTTCTCCAAATCCAGGAACCTATCTCCCCACCCCCCAGTTCCTAGTCTTATACTTGGGTCCCCAATGGTCTTCCCAGGAGGGAAGGAGATAAGGAGAGTGGGTGGGGCAGGCTGGGACTCTAATCAGAGGGATAGGGATGGCCAAGAGACTCAGTGAGGTTGAGGGCTCGGACAGGGACTTGGATCGAGGGGTTTGGGGGAATAGGAGCTGCTTCTGGGTTCTGCAGGACTCAAGCTGGGAGAGTCTCTGGTGAGAATGGGGAATGAAAGTGTCTTAATGACCTGGGCTCGCTTTTCTGCGGGGTACAGGAACTGATTTTGGTGGTGCAAAAGGGTTTGTGCCTCAGCGGGATGGGTCCAAGACAGGGCGGAAGGGGCCTGATGGCGCTGGGCTCTAGGAAGGTTTCCATCCGGGCAGCTCATCTGCCGCTCTGAGGGTCGCGCAAAAAGTGGAGCAGGGGTGGTACGGATGGGGGCTAACTGGATTGAGCGGGGAGCCTCTTCCAAGGATACTGGGGATGGAGAGGTTTGGTGGTAGCTTTTGCAGGTGGGGAGAGAAGGGCCTGGTGAGGAGCCCAGGGCTGGACTGGGGATCTATTTCCTTGACCCGAAGGGCACGAAACAGAGATTTGGAGCTAGAAAGAGGAATGGGAGGAATGAGAGGGTGGGGCTCATCACTGCCGAGGGGAAGCTCGTAGTACTGGGGGTTTCGCGGGGCGATAGAGCGTCTGGCCAGGGCAGAGATGCGGGCGGCTGTGGGGAACAGTAGCATTCATTTGGAGAGTAGGGCAGGGGCTGGGGGTTCCGCAGGATTTGGAAGGAAGGTTGGACCGGGGCTGCGCTCACCTGCCGAGTAGGGCGCGGGCTGGTGGTCGCGTAGGGCGCCAAGCGCGCAGTTGGAAGAGCCGAGCGCGGGGCAGGGTGGCCCCGCCGCGGGGAAGGCGGGCCGCAGGGGGCTGTATTGGAAGCCGCCAGGCTGGCTACAGGCGCCGAAGTCGCCGTAGGCAGACGCCTCCATGGCCGCCACGCACGAGTCGTACGAATTGAGGTAGGAGTAGTCCATCGGCCCGGGGGGCGGGGACGGGGGCCGGGCCGGGCCGGGTCGGGGTCGGGGTCCGGGTCCGGGG